AGCAAAGTTGCAGGATACAAAATCAATGTACAGAAATCAGTTGCATTCTTATACACTAACAATGAAGCAACAGAAAGACAAATAAGGAAACTGATCCCATTCACAATTGCACCAAGAAGCATAAAATACCTAGGAATAAATCTAACCAAAGATGTAAAGGATCTGTATGCTGAAAACTATAGAAAGCTTATGAAGGTAATTGAAGAAGATTTAAAGAAATGGAAAGACATTCCCTGCTCATGGATTGGAAGAATAAATATTGTCAAAATGTCAATACTACCCAAAGCTATCTACACATTCAATGCAATCCCAATCAAAATTGCACCAGCATTCTTCTCGAAACTAGAACAAGCAATCCTAAAATTCATATGGAACCACAAAAGGCCCCGAATAGCCAAAGTAATTTTGAAGAAGAAGACCAAAGCAGGAGGCATCACAATCCCAGACTTTAGCCTCTACTACAAAGCTGTCATCATCAAGACAGCATGGTATTGGCACAAAAACAGACACATAGACCAATGGAATAGAATAGAAACCCCAGAACTAGACCCACAAACGTATGGCCAACTCATCTTTGACAAAGCAGGAAAGAACATCCAATGGAAAAAAGACAGTCTCTTTAACAAATGGTGCTGGGAGAACTGGACAGCAACATGCAGAAGGTTGAAACTAGACCACTTTCTCACACCATTCACAAAAATAAACTCAAAATGGATCAAGGACCTGAATGTGAGACAGGAAACCATCAAAACCTTAGAGGAGAAAGCAGGAAAAGACCTCTCTGACCTCAGCCGTAGCCATCTCTTACTCGACACATCCCCAAAGGCAAGGGAATTAAAAGCAAAAGTGAATTACTGGGACCTTATGAAGATAAAAGCTTCTGCACAGCAAAGGAAACAACCAACAAAACTAAAAGGCAACCAATGGAATGGGAAAAGATATTTGCAAATGACATATCGGACAAAGGGCTAGTATCCAAAATCTATAAAGAGCTCACCAAACTCCACACCCGAAAAACAAATAACCCAGTGAAGAAATGGGCAGAAAACATGAATAGACACTTCTCTAAAGAAGACATCCGGATGGCCAACAGGCACATGAAAAGATGTTCAGCGTCGCTCCTTATCAGGGAAATACAAATCAAAACCACACTCAGGTATCACCTCACGCCAGTCAGAGGGGCCAACATGAACAAATCAGGAGACTATAGATGCTGGAGAGGATGTGGAGAAACGGGAACCCTCTTGCACTGTTGGTGGGAATGCAAATTGGTGCAGCCACTCTGGAAAGCAGTGTGGAGGTTCCTCAGAAAATTAAAAATAGACCTACCCTATGACCCAGCAATAGCACTGCTAGGAATTTATCCAAGGGACACAGGAGTACTGATGCATAGGGGCACTTGTACCCCAATGTTCATAGCAGCACTCTCAACAATAGCCAAATTATGGAAAGAGCCTAAATGTCCATCAACTGATGAATGGATAAAGAAATTGTGGTTTATATACACAATGGAATACTACGTGGCAATGAGAAAAAATGAAATCTGGCCTTTTGTAGCAACGTGGATGGAACTGGCGAGTGTGATGCTAAGTGAAATAAGCCATACAGAGAAAGACAGATACCATATGGTTTCACTCTTATGTGGATCCTGAGAAACTTAACAGGAACCCATGGGGGAGGGGAAGGAAAAAAAAAAAAAAGAGGTTAGAGTGGGAGAGAGCCAAAGCATAAGAGACTGTTGAGAACTGAGAGCAAACTGAGGGTTGATGGGGGGTGGGAGGGAGGAGAAGGTGGGTGATGGGTATTGAGGAGGGCACCTTTTGGGATGAGCACTGGGTGTTGTATGGAAACCAGTTTGACAATAAATTTCATATATAAATTAAAAAAAAAAGAAATATATAATTAAAAAAAATTTTATGTTTATTTATTTCTGAGACGAAGAGAGACAGAACATGAGTGGGGGAGGGGCAGAGAGAGAGGGAGACACAGAATCAGAAGCAGGCTCCAACCTCTGAGATGTCGGCACAGAGCCTGACGCGGGGCTCGAACTCACAAACCATGAGATCATGACCTGAGCCGAAGTCGGTTGCTCAACCAACTGAGCCATCCAGGCGCCCCAAGAAATGTATAATTTAATCCAAATTTTCTGAATTATTTTTAAAATAAAATAAAGGTGAAAGTGACAACTAGATAGTGAGATACATGTGATTTGCTGATAAATGATAGAATTACAGCGCTTATCCTTTCTATTGCTTATCTATTTCTTCTGATTCTCTAAAATGACTACCTTAATCATAATCAGGAATAAACGAAGTAATTTTGAAATTTAAAAAACAAAATTTAATGAGGTGGGTAGGGTAGTGGTGGCACTTAAAGTCTTCATGACTGTAACATTATATAATTTTAGAATGTATTTTTGAAAAGGACTAGGTTTCTAAGTTCATTTGAAGTCTATTATAATTCTAATCAGACACTCAAAGAGATTTAACAAAAATTGACAAAGCAATTCTAAAGGTAATAAAAAATAATTGCTAATATTTTCTAAAGGAAGAGGACTGACATGGAATCTGCACTATTATAATAGTGAAGTAGGTTATTATAAATTATTAAATAGCTGGAGGCTGTATTGTATACATTAAGTCTTCAAGTAACATAGTAATGTGAAAAATGACAACACTCTAATACTGAGTGTAAAGAAGAATATGAGTCCACCTTTTTAAAAACCCATAAACAGATACACAGGCAATAAAAGACTAAAGGGAAATGTTGAAAATGCTATCGGTGCTTATCTAGGAAATTATAGTAATTATATTTTCTGTGAAAATATAATTTTTCAAGGAAGACGAACACACATCCATACCATTATCTTCTTTCTCTTATGGTGCTTCCTTAGAAATGCCTTGTATCTTTCCAATTTTCTTTTAGAACCTTTAAAAGAATGATTAGATAAAATTTAAATACTTTAAAGAAATTACATATTAAACTATTTAATGAGATCAACTAGCTATTTTGATAGGCATAATGCTAGACACACATACCCTTAGTTGAATGTACAAATACTGTATTAGGTTTCCTTTTTTTAGAAATGTCATGTTCTAACTAATTTGTCTTTGGCACTTCCTCCTAAATCTAAAGTTTTATCTCAGTTCTTTCCCACTGAATAAGCCCATGTTTTTCAAATAGCTTAGCTCTTACATTTGGTTATTTCATGGTCACCTTAAATTCAATAAAGTACAGTACTTTGGAGCTAGGCCCAGTGAAAGATTATGGGGGACTACTTTGAAGTCAGGTAACCTAGACCTGAGTTGAAGCTCAGACATTTACATATTGAGGACAATGAGTATATATAAAATATATATAAAATATAAAATATTTTTTGAAATGTACACCTGTGCTCACTCTCTCTCTATACCTCCCTCTATTACAGACACACATACAAGCTATATATATAGCTTATATAATTTAAAAACACTTTTAACACTAAAAATGATGAAAAATTCAGTAAGAAAATTTAAACTAAAACAGTAGTGAATTTAATAGTATATTAAACACATTGTCAGAATTTGACAAATCAAGATGTAAAAAAGGAGGTCAGATATCTAATATAACTAATTAAATATATTTAACACACAGAAAAGACTTTGTAAGTAAACCAATATTATCATTTTTAAGGATTGTATTATGAAAAGTTTGCCCACTAAATAAAGAATAATACAAGAATCACCATTAGTACCTAAAGCTACTCTCTAAGCATTAAGAAATACAACTAGATAAGAAAAATATTATATAAATACTGAAAAAAGGTAAAAACAATCATTACTAGCAGATATGGTCTTATTCAGTCTGCAGGTTTTCACTACTGAATGCTGAACACTTCCTACAGGCTAACCCAGCTCATGTAGCTCACCTTACTTTGGGTTTTAGGTGTTTCTGTTCTTATGTTTTGACCCTTGCTGCCTTGCTTGTCTCTGGTACCAACAGAGAGTTGATGCAACCCTGTTTTCTTGTTATTCTGCTACCTCCACTCTAGCTTAACAAAGTTCACAACTATTTTAGGCTTTGTTCTAACAACACTTCCATTAAATCCACATGTTCATGTTCAACAAAAAATCTTGACTGAACTATGTTGAAATGAAGAAGTTTTAAAATAAAATAAATTTTATGTTTTTAGATATTTTACACCTTAGGATTTCATTCTTTATGAGAATGCACACACAGAGACAGGCATGCAGACACACAAAAGTGACCATTACTTTACCATTATAAAGAAATAAAGTTTACTTGTCTCAGAAATTATGCTGTTCCAATCAAGTATTTTAGAGGCATGGTTTTTCAAAAGAATTGAACATTCCCTTAATCTTGACTCCATGGTAATGATTGCATCATGTATTCGAGGGACAGTTCCCCACAGATGTGTATAAATTGACGTAAATGAACTATCTTCTTTCATTTTCTTTACAGTGTGTAACCATTTATCATTGTCTCCAAAATAGATTTCCCTTGGCCAATAATCCTGCAAAAAACGTGAGTGAATACAACCTAAATCATTTTTGATGAATTTAAATAATAGAATTCAAAATCAATGAGCTAAAATTGAGACTTAATTCCATTGCATTATCTTTTTTTATATTACTGAAATATAATTAACATACAATGTTATGTTAGTTTCAGGTGTTCAAAATATTGCACAACACAGCATAATTTTTTATTAAATGCATTTTTGAAACTGTGAAACAATCATAAAGATTAGAAGTTTCAAATGTTTTACCAAAAAAATTTATTTCCTGAACCATTTGAAAATAAGTTGCTTACTTGACTGATGCCCCATCTTCCTCAAATACATTAGTGTGTATTTACTAAAAACAAAAACATTCTCCTACATAATCAAATATAATCATCAGTTCAGGAAATTGGCAGTCATACATTATTCCTACCTAATTCTCAGAGTCTGTGCAAGTCTTATCAACTGAACCAATAATGCTGTTTATAGCAAAAGGATCTAGTTCAGTGTCATGTATTACATTTAGGCTTCATAAGTCTTTAGTCTCCTTCAGTCTACAAATTCCCCAGTCTTTTTTTGATCTCTTTGTACCATAAAACCTTGGATTACGAGTAGCTTATTTTGTGAGTGTTCCACAAGATGAGCAAAAATTTCTAATAAATTTTAACTTGATAAACAAGTGATGCCTTACAATACGAGTAGTGCATGACCCTGAAAGTCACATGGTCACAACTGAGCCAATGGTTCTTCTCTCTCTCTCTCTGTCTCACTGATTGTAGGTGATCGTATCCTGAGCTTTGATGCTCGGTCCCAAGCTGTGGTGTTTGGCAAAAATCATTGATTTTTCAGAATGTTGGAAGGTGCCCACAACTGGCACTCATGTATTTTTTGTCACTTCAAAGCACCTATGGACAGTCCTTTACTTTTCCATACAAGAGTAAGCTTAGGAATTCTTTGCTTCTTTCTAGGTCAGGCTGCCTGCACATATAGAATATAGACCCTTTCCTCTGCTGCCTTACTACCAGTTACATTAAATATAGTATATAATAAGAGTTTATTAATATTGTACTGCAGTCAACATTTGTGAGAGCATACACAATGGCCCCCATGCAGAAAAAGATTCCATTGAGCCAGTAGGTAGCAGTGATTCCATCAGTGATAGAGAAAGTTGTCCTACACAATAACCCTCCTCTCTCTCCCTGACACCAGCCAGGAAGGTTTTCAAAGTTAAGTGCAGGTTAATTCATTTATTTTTCTTTACATTTGTATTTTCTTTATTATTTTGTATTATATTACAGTATTGTAATCACTTTTATATAAATATTTTTGTGTTGTGGAATGAATCATCTGAGTTTCTATTATTTCTTATGGGGAAATTTGCTTTGATATACAAGTGCTTTGGATTACAAGCATGTTTCTGGAATGAATTATGCTCACAAACTAAGGTTTTACTGTATTTAAAACCATGAGTTCACAGTGAAACCTGGAATTTCAATTCCAAACATTCTAGTTTTCTTTCTTTCCATAGTACAATTACCACCTCCAACAGTGAAAAATCTAGTTGCCATTATCTTTAGTATATGTACTTATTTGATCAATCTTTTCAGGTAACCAATCTCTCCTCTCACTGGGAGCTTCTTTTCTATGTAGATGCCCTTTTCATCCTGCTTAGACTCTGACATCCAATGCCAGGCTGCCAATTCTTCAGGGATACCTTCCTTACCCCTACCTGAGCTCTGACTTCTCATACCAAGCCACAGCCTACTTCCATACATCCCTGGAAAAACTCCTCATCCCCAGCCACAGGTGGATATCATCTCACTCCCTTGGACCTTAGGCACCACATGTATACCCTCCTCAACATGGTTGAATTCAGATAGCTTTCCCAGGGCCATCACAGTACATCCTCCTCCCCAGTGCCAATATGGACACCTGCCTTGTTTGGGTCCCAAAGTGGCTTCAGGACTAAATTGCTCAGGAAAGGAAAGAGAGTAAGGGAAGAAGAGAAAGGGAAATGAAGGGAAAGGAAGGAGTTTCATAACAATATTTGCAAATCTAAATACAAGATTATCTTTTAATTATAATCAACTAATAGCAAAACAAAAAAAGTTGGCCTACATTAAGAAAGGTGTATGAGTAAAAGAATGTTTTTTGCAATGGTAGAAAATCTGCAGAGAATAAACTCTTGAATGAAATTTGGGTGAGATATTCTGGGAATTTAGCTAAATGGGAATAAATATGAAGTCTGCAGATCAGGAATTATTTAAAATTTTAAATAGCTTTGGTCTAATCCACTTGCCTTTTTCTTCCTTTAAAGACTTTCTGAACCCATCATACATGTCTTATTTATAAATTATGCTCTCTAATAATAGCAGGTACCTGAATAATATCTAGCTTCTAACTCTAGAAAACTTCCCTACAGGTATCTATGTCCCTCTACCATTTTAGAAAAAAGAATACACTTAGATACCTAAGGGCCATCTCTCAACTCCTACATATTGTATCTTAAACAAGACACAACCACCTGGAGAAGTTTCCTGCATTAAAATTTGGGTCTTATGTATCAAAAAGTACAAAGACTTTGGAAGAATAAGATATAATCACAGGATGCAATTCTTGGAAACAAACATTGTCAAGTCAGAATGACAGCCACATTTGAAAACACAGTCCCTAGGGGTCATGTGTTGCTATTGTTAGAGGAGATTTAGGAGAGAGGAGAGAGACTAAAATGGAAATGCATTTGCAAGATTTTACAATATACACAAACCTTAATGAAAAATGTATCCTTATGCCAGACTTGAGATATCACAATCCTTGTTCCCAAGATATTGAAGTATATTATGAGGTGAATAAAGTATTCTGTAATCCTATAAGCCTGATATAAGATTCTGTCTTCTGTACTTTCCCAAGGTAATCAGGGGATTGACTGGTGTCCCAAAGACATTAACATGAATAAGGTGATGCATAACTAAGCTCTGATTTTTCACTGGCTTCTTCGTGGCTGCATGATTAAATGGATACCAGACGGTGATCTTGTGGCAGATCATACTTGCCTTTCCCCCTCATTTCTCTATTTACTTTCATTTATTATTCCTTTCTATTTTTCCTTCAACCACCTGCTCCTTGAATAGAGTATCATCTGAAAGTAAATTTTGTGGCCAGTCCTAGGGAAGGTAAACTGGAGTCAACTAGCAGCCAACAGGCAGAAGAGCAGCCAGGCAAAAATGATGTCGTACTGGCAGAGAGAAAATCAACACTACTAGGGTTTAAGCATCCGGAGTCCACAGTGATTATATTAATTTAAAAACAAATGTATTCCAATTCCAAAGAGACAAAAGAATTGGACTGGAAATTTCTGTTCCCTAAAGAGTTAAATTCTCCATTATAGCACTATAGTCTTCAGTGATAACTTCAGGAAGACATTTATCTTATTTAAAAGGTCAGTGAAGGGGCGCCTGGGTGGCGCAGTCGGTTAAGCGTCTGACTTCAGCCAGGTCACGATCTCGCGGTCCGGGAGTTCGAGCCCCGCGTCAGGCTCTGGGCTGATGGCTCAGAGCCTGGAGCCTGTTTCCGATTCTGTGTCTCCCTCTCTCTCTGCCCCTCCCCCGTTCATGCTCTGTCTCTCTCTGTCCCAAAAATAAATAAAAAAGAAAAAAAAGAAAAAAAAATAAAAGGTCAGTGAAGCAAGAATCGGCTATGTGCGTGTTACGTTTAATTACTGCAATTAAACTTTGGCAGTGGCAGAGGCACAGACTATGACATACTGGTACACAACTAGAGATGGAGCCTAGTAGCTAGACAGAAGGGCTCTCTTGAAGTTTGAAAAGAGATTTTGTTTACTGAACATATGATTAGGACTTCACCCATGTCCTAAGCCCTAAAAAAAAGTGCTGAGGTTTCCAAAAATGAGTAAAAAATATGAAGAATGACCAGGGTTAGAAGAATTGACTTTTAACTCTTCTCTCCTTAAGCTTTAAAAAAAGGAGGGTTTTAAAGAATGAATGGATGGATGGATAAATAAACAGACAAACAGATAAATAAATAGGTTGTTCCCTAAAGAAAGACAATGGGATTGAAATAATTATTCCATCATAAAGTACCTTTGATCTTCTGAGAAAAATCACAGTAGGGATCTGAGTACCCTCTAGGTATGGATTATAAGTGTAGCAGACTTGTTAATGAAAATTGATACGGACATAAAGTACTCCTAAATAAAAGTCACATGAAAGCAGAAAAACAGGACGCAGAGTAAGAAATAAACATCAGCGAAGATCAAATGTGATGTGTAAATAAGGAAAGAATTCAAAACAACTCTTGAGTACCTAAAGAACTGAAAAGGACTAAAAAAGTGTAACACTAAAGGGAAACAGTGCAGAAGGAGGGGGATGTAAATTCCATGATGGCAAGGAGTATTCTCTGTTTTTTGTTCATTGTTGTATTTCCTGGGTCCAGAACAATACCTGGCATCTGGTAGGTAGTGGATAAAAATCATTAATGAATGAATGAACAGAATAAGTCAAAGAATTGATAGTAATGCAACACTAGTGGAACAAGAGGCTGTTATAAAAACAGAATACAAAAATATTTTTATAAAGATAAAAATAGAAACAGAATAGTGATGGAGTAAAAGGGAAAGAAGCAGGAAGAGAATGTGGGAATTGATCAAATAGATAAATGAGAAATGACCGAAGGTAAAAAAAGTACACAGAACTAGAACAAGAAATAGGAAGAGGGGAAAGACAGGAGTAGAAGGTACAAAATATTAAAATTACAAAAGAAAAATAAAAATGGTAGGAATCGGCCAAAATGAGACATCTTTAGATGATGTGATGAAAGATAAGTGATAAGACGTGAGAAACTAACAGCTAACATGTAGGTTCCAGGTACTGGTCTACTGCTAGCTAGGAGTAGAGCTGGGATCTGAACACAGGCAATCTGACACCAGAGCCTCTGTCCTTAACCACTACACCACTATGCAGATACACACCTTTGCTTTTATATTTTAGAGGGAAATTAATAGATAGGCTTTCCAGGAGGCCATAAGCAGTTTAGAATATATTTTATTTTTTTTTATTTCATTTGTTTGGTTTTATTTTTTAATTGGCATAATTTTAAGGTAACAAGAAAGTCCTCTTGCTACTAAAAAAAAATCCTTATTAGTTAGCTCATTAACTGCTTGAAAATTGCACCTCAGGCATTCATTTCCTTGGTTCAAGATTTCAATTTCTTTTTTATTTTTATTTTTATTTTTATTTTTATTTTTTTATTTATTTATTTTTTATTTATATATGAAATTTATTGTCAAATTGGTTTCCATACAACACCCAGTGCTCATCCCAAAAGGTGCCCTCCTCAATACCCATCACCCACCCTCTCCTCCCTCCTACCCCCCATCAACCCTCAGTTTGCTCTCAGTTCTCAACAGTCTCTTATGCTTTGGCTCTCTCCCACTCTAACCTCTTTTTTTTTTTTTTTCCCTTCCCCTCCCCCATGGGTTCCTGTTAAGTTTCTCAGGATCCACATAAGAGTGAAACCATATGGTATCTGTCTTTAGAATATATTTTAATTTCTGTTTTGTTTTATTCATTTGCTTGTTTATCATATGCTTCAATTCTAAAAAAAAAAAAAAAAAAGCAGTTCCATGAAGGCAGGGATCTTTGCCTCTTTTTATTCACTAGTATATTCTAATTGTAATAGGCACTCAAAAATATTTCTTAAATGAATTTGAGGAAGTTATTACTTTCTTATGATTGCCTATAAGACAAAAGTTTTGTCCAGCAAATAAGAAATTAAATATCCAGTCATTTTATTCCTGGATGCTTTCAAATATTCAATAGTATGGCAATGCATAGACATAGTCATGTCTTGAAAAAAAGTAACTACAGATTACAAGTATTTGGTTGGGAAATCAAGACAACAAGAACAACTTTACAGATAAATCCATAAGTGATAAAACAGTACAAATAGATATACGTTACTTTATCAAATGCCATATGATAAAAATTGAAAGCTATCAATATAAACGCTGGCCTTTGGATACAAGGACAGTGCTTCTTACATGCCATTAATAAAACATTTGCTTTGATTTTTATTTTATTCTATCTTTGGTAAAGGGCTGGCATAAACCTGTCATCTTGATTTGATTAGTATTCTTTTTTTTTTTTTTACATTTATTTATTTTTGAGAGATAGAGAGAGACAGAGCACAAGTGGGGGAAGGCCAGAGATAGAAGGAGACAAAAAATCCAAAGCAGGCTCCAGGCTCTGAACTGTCAGCACAGAGTCCGATGCAGGGCTTGAACTCACAAACTGTGAGATCATGACCTGAGCCGAAGTCGGATGCTTAACCGACTGAGCCACCCAGGCACCCCTGATTAGCATTATTCTTAATTTAAGCAGAGTGATTATGCATTTTCCAACTCAAATAATTAGAAATTTTCATCTGAAATCATATATCTTTAAGCATATATGATAGTATAGTCCAAATATCTCCATAATTATTTGCTGATTTTGGTTTAACTATAATCCTTTCCCCTTGGCATTAAAAAGACCCCAAACATTGTGATTAGGCTATAGCACATTTCCATCATTATTTAAATCAAAATACAGTAAAACCTTGGCTTGTGAGTAACTTGTTCTGTGAGTGTTCCACAAGATGAACAAACATTTCTAATAAATTTTAACTTGATAAATGAGCGATGTCTTCCAATATGAGTAGTACATGACCCCGAACGTCACATGATCACAACTGAGCCTATGGTTCTTCCATCTCTCTCTCTCTCTCTTTCTCTCTCTCTCTCTCTCTCACTGTGGAATTGTGGGTGATTGTCTCCCATGCTTGGATTGCTCAGTCTCAGGTTGTGGTGTCTGGCAGAAATCAGTGATTTTTCAGAATGTTGGAAGGTGCCCACAACTGGCACTAGTATATTTTTGTCACTTCAAAGCACCTTTGGACAGTCCTTTGCTTTTCCATGCAAAAGTAAGCTTAGGAATGCTTTGCTTCTTTCTAGGTCAAGCTGCCTGCAGATATAGATCCTTTCCTCTGCCTTATTGCCTCTTACATTGAATTCAGTATATGAGAAGAATACTATAGTCAACACCCGTGCAAGTGTATACAATGGCCCTTGTACAGAAAAAGGTTGAAAAGAAAGGTGGTAAGAAGGAGATGATTCCAGTATAAATTAAGGAAATCATGGAGAAGTGTGAACAAGGTACGTGAGTAGCTGAAGTTGCACAATTTTAGAAGTCTACATCTGCATCTCGGCTGCAGAGGAAGAGGAGAAACAGGTGGAGGAATCCCTCACTTCAAATGAGATTAGGGAGATGTGTTAAAATGTGGGAAACAGTGCAAAATTTTGTAGAAAAGCACCAGCCAAATAAGGCTGTAGCAGTGCAAGTGATGAATCTGTTTAATGACAATGCAATGTCACATTTCTGCAAAATCCTCAAAAGGAGACAAAATCAAGTGTCGTTGGATAGATTCCTTGTTAAAGTTGCACAAAAAGAAAAAGGTGCCATTGAGCCAATAGATAGCAGTGATTCTGTTAGTGATAGTGAAGGCTGTCCTACACAATAACCCTCCTCTCTTGTCTCCCTTACAGTAGCCACAAAGGTTTTCTAAGGTAAGTGCAGGTTAATTTGCTTATTTTTCTTTATACTTTGTATTTTTTATTATCTTATATTATATTACAGTATTGTAATCATTTTTATATGAGTATTTCAGGTTGTGGAAAGAATCATCTGAGTTTCCATTATTTCTTATGGCAAAATTTGCTCTGATATACAAGTGCTTTGGATTATAAGCATGTTTTCAGAGTGAATTATGCTTGCAAACCAAGGTTTTACTGTAGTTGCAAAAAGTTTGTGCTAATAATAGTTTAAAATATTTGGCTCTGCTACAGTGACTGAAATAAACTCTTGGAAACTAGGAATATCTTCATATTCTATTTGCTCCTAAAGGGAATTCAGTGCTTTTCTAAAACATTTAAAAAGAAACTTATTTAAACAAAGAATTGAAAATAGATGTTAAAAATATAGGTATTTTTGCAATTCTATTCTCAACAGTTTAGTTGCAAATTTAGTATAGCAAATTCTGTTTATAAATAGGTACAAATTATTCAGTCCAAATTACTCAAAGTATGTACACACCTCATTTTTAAAAAGTCTCCTTTCTCTCTGTTTTCCACACTAACATCTTTATCCTAGTCCTTGACACTCTCCGATGCAAAACAAACCTAATTTTCAGACTCACGAGTAAACAGACCCAAGGGAAAACTTGTAGCAAGCCCAATAACTCCAGAAGTCAGTACTTAAATGTTAACAATGGAAACAGGAGCTTTCAACATGAAAACACAGTTTTGAATATTTCACCCTGATCCAACAATCAAAGAAACTGATACACCACCCCTGCAAATTACCTGTGAGTCTAAACTGTGGTACACGGATAAATGAGGGAAGTACGAATAATTATCAGATATTCTTTAAGGTGTAAATGTTCAAAACAAACATATTAGCCAAATTATATAGAAACGTTTGTATCATCCTTCTGATGGGATACAGATCTAAAATTTTCTCAAAGTCAAAAAGAGAATAGAATATTGACAAGGCTACAAGATAGAGCCTACTGAAAGGAGATAAATATTTATAATTATTTCCCACATTGAAATGTAGTTTTTTTTGAATTTCTATTCTCAGTCTTTTCTTAAGCCTTCCATATCTTCACAACTAATGTTTTAAAAGATGTAATGGCACATAAAATAGATGTACTACTTACCCAATTTTGAAACTTTAAGAATTCTTCAATGTTCATTGGAGGTTTATGCATTTTCTAATGAAGTAAAATCAACATTGCTAATTAATATAAATATTGCTAACTAACAAACTCAACATAAATTAACACTGTTTATGATGTTTACACATAATTTGCTTAAATAAATGATGCTCCTGGACTTAAGTTATAATTTTCAGAGCCATAAGGCATTGTAAAATATTCACTTTGTAAAGTCCCTGCACTTTTAAAAGGAACAGAGATCAATGTTTAAATTCTGAGCCTCCAAACCAAATTCTGTAAAAGGCTTCCTTCTTATATATTGCTTCTAGGGAAAAAACTTCACATTAATCCTGTTGAATGTCCTAATTTCAAATTCCTACAAGAGTTCCAAGATATTTTGGGCTATGTTGGATGGTGTCTACAATAAATCCAAAGCCAAAAATATATTAACTTGCCTCTCTTGCTGATGAAGTATTTAATAAAAGGCCACACTAGTGACATGGTGAAAGTAACTTAAATGTTTGGCTATTTCCATGTAATAAGTAATAGTCCGATCTTATTAGTAGTTTCCTCATAAGTTGAAAACATATTCTTTCATTAGACAAATTAATTTTAATCAGGACCACATCTTGTTCTTCTTTGCCTTAGAGACTGTACACATTCTTACTTCTGCTTGGAAGCCTCCCTGTTCCAAACCTTCTCTGTCCAATCCCTTCTTGATCTTATTTTAAAGATCAAATTAAAAGTCACTTGTTCTAGGAAGTCCTCCATGTTCCCCAAAAGATTCTCTTCAGTAAAACATAGTAGATTTGTATCTATATGAGGATAGAAACTATGGTATAAGTCACTGCTGAATTGTCAAAATTTCATACGATGATTCACTCAGGATTAGTACACAATAAGTACTTGCAATGTGTATAAATTAATGAATAAATGAGTAAATAGATATCAGAAAAATGGGTATTTATTCAGAACAATAATATGACCATTTCTAGAGAATGAAAAACCCATTAGAAGAAGGCAAAAATAAGAGGAATTCAGAATATCCTAATACAATATCCTAATGGTCTGATGATGGCATGTCTGAAAAGATTGCAGCACATTTTAATTTACCATAACATATATTTCACATATATAAAATGATACAGATTACAAAATCACCATAGTTTTGTAAAAATAGCTACACTTTTGAGGTTGAAGAGAATATTTCATTCTCTAATACTGTTTGAAATATGGTGAATATAAACAAATATATAACAGATAATAAATAACAAAATAAAAGGTATATGTGACAATCGTTACAAAAAGAAGCGTTCAGAAGCAAAGCTGCATTGAGCTGTCACAAAAATGTAATGGAAAACATGGGACTCTAGATTGAGAAGGGTAAGAAATAAGAGAGATGGTACGCACAGAATGCTTAGAGACAAAAAAAAACGTTAGGGATACAATATCTTCAGAGAGAGTGAATGTAGTAGTCATCTAGAAGAAAGCTATCAGTATATTTTGAAATGTATGAAATATAAAGAAGCTAATTAGAACAACTTAAATGTTGCCTTTTTCTTATAATGGCTATCAAATCACTTCTAGTACAAAGCACTAAAAAAATCCCCATATTTCTGTTTAAAAAAAATTTTCTTTTAAATTTATTTTGAGAGAGACATAGAGAGCAAGCAGGGGAGGGGCAGAGAGAGAGGGAGGCAGAATCCCAAGCAGGCTCCACACTGTTAGCACAGAGCCTCATGTGGGGTTTGAACTCACAAACTGTGAGATCATGACCTGAGCTGAAGTAGAATCAGACGCTTAACCGAGTCGCCCAGGCGCCCCTTTTCTTTTCTTTCCTCTTTTCTTTTCTTTCTTCCTTCATTTCTTTATTTCTTTTTCTTGAGAAGAGTTGACACACATTATATTAGTTTCAGGTGTACAACATGGTGATTCAACAACTCTATGCTGTGCTCGCCTGAAGTACAGCTACCATTTGTCACCATACAACACTATTGTAACATCATTGACTATATTCTCTATGCTGTACTTTTTATTCCTGCAGCTTATTCATTCTACAACTGGAAGTCTGTATCTCCCATTCTTCTTCACCCATTTTGCACATCCCTTTAACTCTAGCAACCATCAGTTTGTTCTCTGTATTTAAAGTTCTGTTTCTGCTTTTGTTTAATCATTTGTTTCGCTTTTTAGATTCCACATATAACTGAAATTATATGGTATTTGTATTTCTCTAATTTATTTCACTTTATTACACTTTAGGTCCATCTGCATTGTTGTAAATGGCAATATCTCATCCTTTTTATGGCTGCATAATATTCCATTGTGCGTGCATATGTGTGTGTGTGTGTGTGTGTGTGTGTGTGTGTGTGTGTGTGTGTATGTATACACACATATATACATAACTTCTTTACCTACTTGTATTGGAAAATAATACATTCCAATTAAAGAAAATTAGAAAAATAAGGAAGTAAAACTCACACAAGTTCTAGCTAATTTCAACATAAAATTCCAAAGTTCTCTAAGGTTAGTGTTAAAAAGAGGTAGGAATAAATTAAATGGACTTCTGCTCTAAGTAGAATGTAGAAGTATGCAAAACACCTATGCTTCCCTGGTAACAACAAGGGAAACCCAGACAAAATAAAAATCTCACTTTTCTATGAGGTTAGTGAAGAGTAGTGGGTGCTAGTAAGCAGTATGGGCTACATAATTTGGAAAATGCAGAGCCCCTTGTTCAAAAATTATTAAGAATTTTAAGATGGTAATATCAGACCATTAAACCAAGTGTAGGGTCTATCTAATCATAAGGGCCTGTGCAATTGCAAGCCCATGAAGCCCTTCTACCTGGAAGCCTGGATGACCAGAAATTAAAAAAAAAAAATCCCCTTTATAAGTGAGCATAAAGCTGTGTCAGTTTCCTTACCCGGCAGTGATCTTTAACCATCCATTGAGGGAACTGTTGGTCTGCCATGGTGCAGGAACTTTGCAGAGATGATGAGAAATCAGCTGGACCTTAAGCATCTGCATGAGCTGGAGGAACAAACTGGAGTCTGAAAGACACCTAAATACAAAAACAAATGACTCAGACAAACAATCCCTGCCCAGACCCTATGACTCCCTTCTGAGTTTTATCAAAAAAGCAGCAGTCCAGGAGGGGCTGGAAAGATAGAGGACTTAAAGAGGCCAACACATTCTTAACATTACTTGGGCCTCAGGGCCCTGACAGAGTTGACTTCAAAGGTGAAGCAAAAATGTAAAAAAAAAAAAAAATCAGTTCCAACTTCTCCCAATTGAATATTGACAAGATATAAGAGTTGGCTATGAAGAGGGAAGTTGGAAGTTGGGTTAGATACAGGTGAACTTCAATCCAATTAAAGCAAAAGTAAAGTTCAACTCAAGTCTAGGAGGAATCAAAAGATCAGTATCTCATTTTGAATGTCAAGGAGATAAAGAGGCTTGTGCTAAATTATACTTCATCCTCTATAATTTTTCCCACATAATGTCTAATACACAATAAAACAATTGAAGATGTACAAACAAGAAGTAAAATGGGACTTATAATCAAAAGAAAACACAGTCGATGGGGCATCTGGGTGGTTCAGTTGGCTAAGCATCCAACTTTGGCTCAGGTCATAATCTCATGGTCTGTGGGTTTGAGCCCCTGCTTCGACCTCTGTTCTGACAGCTCAGAGCCTCGAGCCTGCTTCACATTCTGTGTCTCTCTCTGCCCCTTCCCTCCTCACACTTAGTCTCTCTCCCTCTCAAAAATAAATAAACATTAAAAATTTTTTTTAAATAAATAGAAAAAGGTATGAAAGGTATGAGCAGAAACCAATGAAATAAAAATATGAAAACAGAGAAATCAACAAACCAAAAGTTTGTCTTTTAAAAGATGAAAAAAATAAACCCTTAGTAGAAATGAATTTAAAAAATGAAAGGAAAATGTATATGGGAAAAAAATGATCTGCTAGATTGAAATATTTTAATTGCTATATTTGATTATAATGCTTTACCACTTTGGCAGAATGTCTGAGGACAGATTACTAATAACTACACAACAATTTGGCTATTATTAAACAAAAGAAAGTAAAAGGTTGTATTAAAAGTTAACGTGATCATATGTGGCTCAGGGTTGAATGATATTTACAAATGTGAATTTAAACAAAAATTGAGATATTACTACATTGAGAGATGAGGGGATAAGAACGTGTACAGGTAGAGAGAGAAGGAATGTTCTTGTACCTGGGGGTGGTGTTATAAAAGAGCTTTATCATTGACTTCCTTAGAAGAAAGTCAATGGAAAATGTCTGAAATTGAAAAAATCAAAACACTGTAATATATTATGACATATGCAGTAAATAACAAAAGAATTATTAAAAAGTCTTGAAAGAATTTTTCTTTTGAGAGAACTGAGAATAGAATGGAGGGGTTGGGAACTACCAGGCTTTGGCGAAAAACCTAGAATATGTCAACTGTTAGTGCTTACCAACATGTGTATGTTTCTCTACAGTTCCCAAGCTCACATGCAGTAAAGTGGGAGGGGGAGGGATCTTTGATATGTGGGCAAAGTGATATACGCCAGTTTTTAGGGATGACCTCTAAAACTTTTGGTATGATTCAACATGCTTTCTTTCTTGTCAGATGAGCTGTGGACTCAAGTCTTAGGAGATAGTAGAACCAGTAAAAATTAAACAAAAGAACACAAGAAACAACCTGCATCCTTGAGTCTAATGTTTCATCTGACTAGTAACATCTGAATTTCCTGTGAGAAATAAAAATTTATTGTATCAAACCCCTGAAATGTTGGGGTTTTCTGTGACAGTAGTAAATTCATCATGGTGGTTTAAAAAAAAAATGGCCACAATTTCCTTGACAATCTTTTGAGAAGTGGTATCTATCTATGTCCCCTTTCCTATAATCTGGACAGGTTTTAAGACACACTTATAACCAAAATAATGTGTGAGAAGTGACAGTGTGTTACTCTTTGATACTGGGTCAGAAAAGAACATGTAGTTTCTGCCTTGTTCATGGCAATGCTGGACTGTGGAGCACTCAGAAGTCTGATTACACAGCTGCCATACTGTGAGGAAGTTCAGGCCACATGGAGAGTCTTGCACACAGGATTTCTGCTAGCATTCATAGACTTCCGAGCTGAGTTATCAGAGAAAAGCTGACTCTCTGTGCCGTGCTGAACACACAATCCATGAACACGATAAAAAAGTTGTTTTAAGTCATGTTTTGGACTAATGTATTACAGAGCACAAGTAACCCAATACTCACATCACTTCAATGAATAAACAGTATCATTTGCTTTTTTTAACCTGAGCACCTGAACTAAAGCAGTTAAAGAAGAAAAAGGCATGAATTATTTATTCTTGGCTTGGAGACTTTGCTATTGTTAACTTTTTTCACCCAGGAAGTTCATCTTTCCTCCTAAAGCAGTGGCTTTCAAACTTTTTAAAGAGAAATGCACAAGAAGACATACATTTTATAAATGCACGCACCCACACAGAGATCTTTCTTATGATGGGGTTAAGTTTCGATAAACCCATGGTTAAGTTGAAAATGTATTTAATACACCCAACCTACCGAACATCATAGACTAGCTACCGTAAATGTGCTTAGAATACTTACATTAGCCTAAAGCTGGGCAAAATCAACTAACACTAAGCCTATTTCATAATGAAGTATCGAATATCCCATGTAATTGAATACTGTACTGAAAGTGACAAACAGAATGGTTGTAAGTGTACTGATTGTTTACCCTTGTGATGGCCTGGCTGATGTGGCTGCTCACAAGAGAATTTCATATGACATATGGGTAGCTCAGGAAAATATCAAGTTAAAACTCCAAGTTTGGTTTCTACCGAATGCATACTGAATTCACACCATTATAAGGTCGAAAAATCCCAAGTTAAACCAGGGACTGTCTGCAATTTAAAACTCCATGAAATAATACTTCACCAAGTGCCATGTGCTGACATTTCCACAGTATACTATTTCATTTTTTTAAATGTGTAGTTTTGGGGTGCCTGGCTGGCTGTGTCAGGGGAGCCTGCAACTACAGCTCTCAGGGTCATGAGTTCAAGTCCCACACTGGGCCTAGAACTTACTTAAAAAATTAATAAAAATTTTAAAAACATGTAGCTGTGACTCACTACATTTCCTTGCTTACAAATGGGACTTCCACCAATGGGTCCCACACATTCCCCTTGAAAAGCACTGCTCTTAAGCTATAATCATTCTTTAAGGCCTTACTCAAGTCCAACCAATGAGCCTTTGTTGACCACTCCATTCTGAGCTCTTGTAAAATTACTACAATTTACTAGTCACGTTGTGTTTTCTGTACTACCCAGGTTTTAACTTGATGTCCTAAGCTCGTCTAGCGCAAGGTTCTGTCCTTTACCTCTTACATGCTAAATTCAAAGTACTCAATAAATACAATGCTTAATATCTGGCCATTGTGTTTCTGAATCTCACAATTGGTTGGGATTTTCTTTGGGGTGGGGTAAGGAAACGTGGTTTAATAATCCACCCACGTATTATGCTTAATTCCAAAATGGAAGAGTACACAAAGAGTGGTGTGTAGTTTTCAAGAGAACCAAACCATCAAGGTACACACAACGTTTCTAAGAGCTTTCATTACTACGCACCGCACGAAGTACTCATCTTGACATAGCCATAAAAACGTAACAGAACCAAGTTCTCTCACGACTAAAATATTTTTGGAATTGGAAAAATGGAAAAGTGTTCCGTGGGATCAGCATTTTTCACAACTCACTGCAACTACACCTTGAGAGTACACTTCCAGAACCGCGTGCCACTTAAGCAGGAAACTCGGCTGGCAGGGTGTGAAGCTCAGCCTCACCAAGCGGGCCTCACTGCCCTGGGATCCTGTCTCTCTAGCAGACAGGCTACACCGCCCGCAGCCCGAGAGGCTAAGGCGGGACTTCCCCCTCTAACCCCGCCCCGCGTCCCTCCCCAGCCGTTACTTTCGGCGCGGGACCTGCGCGGCGCCGGGCTCTAGCAACGGCCCTAGCAACGGCCGGACTCCTCCCTCCGGTGTCTCCCGGAAAGCGCTCCGCCGCGCCCGCGCGCGGCCTCAGCCGGGAGCGCGCCTCGGGCTCTGGGGGAGCCGAAGACGCGTGGAGCTGTGCGAGGACCCGCGGGCGGTGCAGGTCTGAGTCCCACTCCGATCCCTGGTGCCGGTCTCCTCGCCCCTCTGCGGACCAGTGGTCTGGCCTGAGCCGTGCGTCCGCAGGGAGTGGACGCTCCTTGGCCGGGCCTTAGTGGAGGCTGTGCAGAGTGTCGCCTGTGAGCGGGGCCCTGGTCCCTGTGCGAGCGCTTGCATTTTTTAGGATCCTGCGGGCCCCTTGGGAAAAAGGCTTCTAAATTTTACCTCAAAACAAAACAAAAAATGTTTTCCCCCAACAATTATTTTTCAGTGGTTTCCGCGCCAAGGAAAGTCTGTTCTGGCAGGCAGTCCCCAAGGAAGTATTTATTTTTTAGTGTTTGGAGTGGTTTGCGAGGGATTGGTAATCAGGGAAGGAGAAGCTAAGCACAGACAGTGTGCCGTGCAGTGTATTTAACATAATAAGTAGTGGTTACATAATAAGCCAAGGAGTCTGTTTCTTATGTCTGCATTACTTCTTGGGAACATAGGACAAGTAAAGAAGTATATTAATACTTTTAAGATGCCAGTTCATGGAGTTGGATGATAAAATCGCTGCTTAAACCCACAGCATTTAAGTATTACTTCTGCCCGAAACCGTAGTGTACCATTTAAAACTAAGGCAAGATAGTCTGCCTACCACATGATGGATGATGTGGGAGAGGCCACTGGTCCTGCATGAAGAGGGTGGCACCTTGGGTTTTTCAAAAATGAATGTTGGAGCTGTGTATATTATGTGACCAGGTTCTTCAAAATATTTAAGGAAAAAAAATTAAGGAAAAATGCTTTATCTAGTAGTGACTTGATCTACAATATGTGGTTGGGGTGTTTTATATAGTATTCCATTGGGAAGTGACTGGTAGCTAGGAACTTTTAACAGTATCGTTTTGCAAAAAACATATATGTGTATATATATAATATATAAAATTTGCCATGCTGCCACTTGTGCAAGGTTGCAGATGGCCCATAAAGATGGTTTGTTAGGTTCTTCAAGTAGGGAGATTGATACACATGATTTCTTTTTTAGAATGGTTTTGATGTGATAAGGAATTGTGGAATTCCTCCCTTTGCGCAAGACACAGAGATAGATACGTGAGATCAGTAAAGAATTCTGCTCTTGCAGAGTGACTGCTAGAAGGGACAGCTTTGCTAAAAGGCAACTAACTACAAAAAGCAGATTTTTCCATGCTAAATAAGTGAAACCAGTAATAAATGGGCAAAGTTAAAGAGATGTTAAGAGGTTGCCATAGAACATCTAGAGTCCTGACTTTGAGACTAAAATAGAGGATTATATGCAAGGTAGAATTGATGGAACTTGGTGAGTGATTAGATTTGGGGGAAAAGAGGTTAGAGGGGGAGTAAAAAATTTGTTTTCACCCTAATTTGCAGAATGATGACTGTACCATCAAGGCATTTATTACTTTTTTAGGAGTAAATTCTTTTTATGTTTTCTAAGTAACCCTCAAAACTTTCATCAATAAACCTCAAAAGAATTTGATGTTCATAAGCATGATTTGAAGGTTGTGAATCGTTACATTTGCAACAAACTATTTGTACACATTTGAGGCAGGCTATTGGCTAGGTCAGGACCGATGCCCTTGTCATGTGGTTTCGGAGACCTTTGGAGGGAACTGTCCATAACTAACCACTTTTGGCGTCTTTTGTGTGGCCACCACAGCCATAAGTGAGCGTATAGGTGAAACAGGAGGGGGGAGCCATAAACATTTCCTTTTCGCTGTCTCATAGGTATTTATGTTGTTTGATTTTGTAGAGGAAGGACATTTATATAAGGCTTCACTAATATCCATTTGGCTGTTTGGAAGGCCAAGCGGAATATAGGGGAATATTTCTGAGGCAGAATGCACTTAGAGGGCCCTAGAAAAACTCACAAGTAGTTTTCCACTGAATGTCAGGCAACCACATTGACCTTCTTGACATCCCCAGTAACTGTGTACGTCAGCCCCATATTGCTTGTGTTCTCTGGTGGCATATGCAAACCTTCTAAATAGTTACTGGAACACCCAGGAAAATGGAGTCAGGTTGAATTAGTCCAGTCCAGTTCCTTTTATAGAATGAGTCCCATGATGAAGTAATTCAAGACTATTACAACCTAAAAACATTTTTTCATAAGGACCTCCGGCAACACCAGAGCAAACCCAAACCAAGATTTAGGTGAAACTTAACTAGCTTCCTAAGTGCAGTAATGGGACCTCTTTTGGCTTATGACAGTTGACCTTTGGTTGCCCAATAAGGGATTTGTAGCTCCAATTTCTGGAGACTAATAGTATCTCTTCCCAGACTTTTAAGGCTGCTCCTGTCCTTAGAATGATTTTTTTTTTTTTAATTTTAGTCAAGATTTCTTTACCTGAGTCTGTAGATGGCCTTTTAGAGATCTGTAAACCGCATGAAATTGTGTGCAAAATATTGTGTCTGTGTATGCATCCATGTGAGAGGTCTAAGACTCTCTCACATGATCTTTTTTTTTTTTT